TTCGTTGTTCAATACAATATATTTATATATATAAAAATTTATAATAAAATACAAATTATATTTGCTTGTCTGAAATGATATATATATAAACATTTTGTAATTAAAATTTATATATATTTATTAGAGTTTTATAAGAAAGTAGCAATAATAGGAACTTTGTGTAAAACTAAAAGTTACATATCTATGTTAATTTATTTAATATGAGTCAATAAAAACAATACCTTACAACTCATACTTATGTATGACAAAATAATTTCGCCTAAAGAAATAATTATTAACATCTAGTGGACCTATGTTGTGTGTTAAAAATTAAATTTTTAAACATACAAAAAGTAAAACGGTAAAAATTATTATATCTATAGGAAGTCTTCTAAAGTAACAAATATCTTTTACTGTATATAAAAATTTGCCTTTGATATGCGAAAAGATAAAACCAAATGAAGAGATGCACATGCTAATTTTGTTGTACATACTATGTAGATTTGTATCAATATACTTGTATATCGAGTATACGTTCGTGTGGCTTGTCAAGAGATGGCATAACTTCATTATTATTCCATTTTTTCATTATACCGAACATGTATTGGAATTTTTTTGCATATTATTGTAGTATAACCCTTTAAGAATATGTCCCTAAAAAGATTTTTTGAAAATTCTATTATTTTCGGAGTTACAGCTCATTTTGTGATGCGCCGACAAAGTGGACTGGCAGCTCGGCGAGAACTTTAAAGTCGTTTTTCTCTACTACTTTTTTAGAAACGGTGTGCATGATTTCTTAAGTTCTATTCAATCAATTTACTTGAAATTTTATACAGAGCTTCTTTATACAATATACCATCGCACTACGAGGGGATTATTGGAATTATTATTTTTTATATTTTTAAAAAATTACGAACGGCAAAAAAAAACAAGGAAATACTGAAACATATTTTTCAAATAGCCTCCGTTTTGTGAAAAAAAATTTCCAAAGTCCTCGCGTAGTGCTATAACTACATCCTTCCTCTTTAAAGATCTGTCACCATTTTCTATTTCGGGTTACTGGGAGTCCTGATATGCAGGACGCTTTAGCTGAGCGAACGTGCCAAAATTAGTTTGTAAACCATGCAAAGTGGTGATTTGGGCTTGGAACACAAAGAACGTCCTGGGCGGCCAAAAAAGTTTGAAGATGAGAAGTTGCAAGCATTACTCAATGAAGAAGAGCTTGCAGAATCTTTGGTAGTCACTTATGCCGTCATTTCCGAACGTTTAAAAGCAAGCAAATCGGCAAATGAATCCATTACGAAAATTTTAAATGCAAATACTTGTACATGGCCAAACAGCTGAATTAACAATTTGGAGAACTGTGGATGGGAAGTTTGACATAACCCGCAATATAGTGCAGACCTCGCTACCTACTAACTACTATTTGTTCCGGTCGATGCAGAACGCCCTTATTGGAATACGGTATCCAAAATGTTCTTGATTTATTCTTGGCACAGTTCTTCTGGGATGGAATTAATAAATTGGTAGAATGATGAGAATATCTTATAGCTTTTGATGGGAAATACTTCGAGAAATACTATTGAACATGTTTTTCCAAAATAAACGTTACAATTTCGAAACAAAAACCGCAGGAATGTAGTTATACACCCAATTGTATGTGTATGTATTCACGCCCATTATGTATTATAGGATATCTTATAGACAACACTTTTAAATTTTTTAGGATTTAAAACCATCCGTTTAGATTTCAGGTTTTAAAGATTTTAATTTTAACGTATTAAATTGTTTGGCATCCAAAACCATAGTATAAGATATGCAATTAACTTCGGTTTCGAAAATATTCTTGAACATTTTCATTAATGTTTTACATTACAAAAAAAACTTTTTCACAAAAAATTTCCTTTTATTTACATCTCTGTGCCCAAAACAGGCAGAATCAGGTTATCTCAGCTGAGTAAAATTCTTGGAAAACAGCTGAGCGTAAGCGTACATGTAGCAGAGATAAAACTCACTGGAAATGAGAGCGCAATTGCTAAATGTCAAAACCCTCAGAGCTCAAGCAACTGTCAAAGTTCAGTAGGTCTGACGTTTAGCAATTGAAAAAAGAGAGAGGTCAGATTAAAATCCTACCGATCACTAACAAAAATTGGAAAACAATAAAGATGAAAGAAATCGTAAAATTGAAATGTATGTGATGAAATCTTTTGTGGTGCCATGCTTCGTAGTATTAATTGTCAATTGAAAATGATAAATAAATATTTACTAATTAAGAGTTAATATATTTTTCAACTATTTAAGTATTGAAAGTTCAAAAATCAGTTGTTTTAATACCTATATCAAAAAATCACAAAATGGATTTAAATTATTTTTCCATATGTTGAACGGATACATGTATATACATATTTAATCGTAATAAATGTTGGGTATTATAATTTAAATGGCCAAAAATTATATTTTTGTCCGATCTGGCTACAGTGGAAAATGTTTTGAAAAACGCTCATTTTTTGGCGCTCTCAAAAATAAAATAGTCATGAATGGGAACCATATGTTCAAAGATGGAAAGTGTTAAGAAATTGATATATTCGCGCATTTCTTTAAAATCATACAATAAATGTAAGAAAAAGGGGCTTAGAAGCAAGTAAATACTTTAGTTTTACTTTAAATAATTGTTCATATTATACTTTTCAACTGATTTTTAGGTATAGCAATATAGTATCTAAAACCTCCACAGTATGGATGATTGCCGACCACAACCAACAATCTTTTATACTACTGAATGCTCGCCTGACCTTTAAAGCGAACTTTTCTTAGGGAGTGGTTAAAAATATTCGATTGGCTTGAAGAAAAGAAACGGTGTGCATGTAGCTAAATTTAATTGACCTCTAAGGTTTATTTGTATGTACATATTTTCTATGTGATCTGAAACTCCAATGTATTAATGAAAAGTTTGGTAGTTTTGCAACAGATTTGGTAGGCATTTCGGTATCCAGAGATTTTTTCAAGTGGCAACCCTATGAAATGCCGATCACTGCCCTACATTTAAAATATGTATAGAGTTAATGAAAACGTTGCTGTATTGCCAAAGAAAATTCTATTCGTAGACTAGGTCCTCTATAACATTTTTTTTATTTTTATTTTTTTCAAGTTATAAATTAATTAAAAAGGTTTCCCACTGGATCTAAAACCTCGTCACCTAAAATGCAAAGAAACGTAACTAATATCTGATAGCAGAAACTAAAATTTGTTTATATAGGCAGGGTTGGAAATAATGCATTAAAAACTAATTGAATTAACATGTGAATATATTTTTTTAATATCGTGTTTGTGATTGAAAAATTAAAAAAGGTCGTAATCCCATACACCGAATTGAATAATAAAATAAAATGCGAAATATGGGATCAAAAATTAAAAAGAAATTTTAATTCGGGTTTTGTGAGAAACGTTTTTTTAAATTTTTCTAATTGAACACAAATATGATCTTAATCTTATTATTAATACTAAAAAAATACATTTTTTTTAATTAACCTTTTCTCGCGCTTGCATATTTCGTGTTCTACGATTTTGAACTAGAACTCGCAGAGAGAAATCGTCTTCAATAGTCTACACATTCAAATGATTTATATTACCAGTATATCAATTTTTAGTTCTGATCTTGAGATCAAAAAATTTAATTTTCAATTTATACTACTAAAGTATAAATCAAAAATTTTTATTTAATTCCAACATCGGCATTAAAAAATTAAAATTTAATTTTTAATCCCAATTTTTAAAATTAAAAATAGTATATACGTGTTGAAAGTTTTTTTGAGGTATATTTTATTATATGGGCTGGTGGAATTATTGGTCCGTACTTCTTCAAAAACGATGATGGCCAGAACGTTACAGTCAACGGTGATCGGTATTTCGCCATGATTACTAACTTTTTTATTCCTGAATTGAACAACCATGATGTGGTTCCAACAAGACGGCGCAACATGTCACACAGCTCGTGCCACAATCGATTTATTGAAAGACACGTTTGGTGACCGCCTAGTTTCACGTTTTGGCCTTCAAGATCTTGTGATTTAACACCACTAGACTACTTTCTGTGGCGTTATATAAAGTCATTGGTTTATGCGCATAAGCCACATACGCTTAAACATTTGGAAGAGAACATTCGCCGTGTTATTGCCGATATACGGCCACAAATGTTGGAAAAAGTCATCCAAAATTGGACGTCCAGATTGGACTACATCCGAGACAGCCGTGGCGCTCATATGCCAGAAATCATATTTAAAATGTAATGCCACAAGATTATCATTCGGATAAATTCATGTCAATCGAATAATCCGTCGTTGTTTTATTGCAATTTAAAGTTCTATACCTCCAAAAAAAACACCTAACTAACAAAAGTTAGTATGTTGTAGTGACCGTAATCAATAAAAAAAAACTCTATTTCGAATTTTTTGATGATACGTTGTTTTGCTGACGATATACATTTTTTGAAATGAAAATTGGAAGATCTCTTCATATGTTAGTAAGTTAGCCACTTTTAGCAATGCCTGAAATTGAAATTATATGCGTTGTGGGATATTGTTATCAACTATTAATGTAAAATACGTGATTTTTATATTTTCTGGACTAAGTAAATAAAACTTTCAGTTCAAAAAAATAATAACCAAATGAAAAAATTACAGATTAAAAATGTAAATAAAATTTTATGGAGATACGGATCGTATTAGATCTGGCAGTTGAACTCTTTTTTGAAACTATTGTAGATAAAAAAGGTACAACCTTAATTAATTAACGATATTTTCTATGAATTTATGAATTGTCAATAGCATGTATGTATGGTAAACGTAAAGAGTATGGTGATGCGAAATTATTTGATACCTGACCAATTGATAGCTCGTGAGATTGTTATACTTTTACTTAGTCAGTAAACACATATTATTTATACACCTACTTTGTGTATACATATATACATTATATCAGGACTTAACTGCACTGCTTTTCTGCATGCGTTTCATGAAACTCACCAGTTATTTGATTACAATTAAATAATTGTTGAATAATATCTTGAGCATGCGTATTAGTTAATTGCGTATGCGTTGTACTGGTTGTTAATGTACAAGATGTGCTGCTATTGTTACTGCTTGCTGTTATTGTTTCATTTCTGGTTGATGGGTTTTGTATGGTCTCATTATTATCATTTAGATCTATCGTATTCCCATCACTACTATCCTTGTATTCGTCTATATAATTATCTTCATCATCAGTAATACTTGTTGCCAGCGGTGCATTTGAAACAAAAATGGCACTTTTGCTGCTGCGTTCACTATATTTAATATTATATTGAGTTTCCATTAATTTGTGATTGACAATATTGTTGACGCTTCCAATATCAGTGTTCTCAACATTCTCAGCACTGTATGACCTATTAATAACTTTATCCCTTTCTTGTTTTTCATTATTTTCTTTTGAAGTCTGTTTAGCAACCTGTGGTTTTCGCCCTTTACATCGATTGTCACCTATGTCGTTTGTTTTTGCTCCATTGCTTTCATTATTAATATTGCCACATTCATACCATTCCATTAATTCACTGTTTTCGTTATTGGATGTATAATCGATGGCTCGTTTCATTGTATTTTGTAATTTCAGCTCCTTATATATTCTCGTAAAAGTGACAAGTCTATCGTTGCCGGTAATATCAGTATTCACATACGTCTTGAAATCACTATCTTGGGCAAGAGCAGCTTCGTCACTCGTGACATATTTACCTTCTTTTAAATCGGCGTTAGTATTTGGCTGGCCAGTTGCACTTTGTTTATTTGTGAATTCTTCATTTTCCACAGTCACTGCAGTTGAAAAAACTTTCGAATCGATATTAAGTTTGACATCAACTGCGGTTTGCTCCAACAGCTTTTTTACTTTACATATGTGCTCAATAGATAAGGCATGTTGCTGAACATTTACTTGAGACAGTTGGCATAAATTACAGCCGCCTAATTCCATTCCAGTGTTGGTGTTATTACTTATATTAGCATCAGGTAAAAAGTTCATGTTGCCCTTGTTGCCGTGGATTGTAGTGGACTTCAATGTATTTTTTTGAAAGAGTCCGTAGTCTCGATTATTTTGCGAAGCATCCTCGTAGTTACTGTCATCGGATATTGCAGTAAAGCGTTGATTGCGTGACTTTTTATCTTTGGCACGTGAGTTTTGGAACCAAACCTGTTAAAGAAAGTGCTATGAGGATATGTCATTGGAAATTTAACTCGTAAACTTCTACAATCTAATATATTCTTAATATTTATGTGCAATGTTACTTGATTAGCTGTTTAATGTTAGATTTTGTATATAATCTCATTTTCTTATAAGGCAATCAACAATTAATTACGATAAAAATTGGAAATTTTCTGTTAAAAGGAAAACTTTAGAATAGCACCCCCCGAATTCCAGTTTAAAATAGGTATGAGCAATACAATAGTAGAAAGCATATTGCCATTCCCTTTTCCTTGTCGATCCCTATTCCACAAACTTACGAATCACCTCGTTTGAATACATACTTTAGCGTTGTTCTGACCCGGTAGTTAAGGATCCAACTAGTCAAGAAAATGATTGTCTACAACTCCATCATTCAATATACATATGTAGATTTATATTCCTTACACATTAAGAGGAATTGTAATGGATTTTTTTTTTTATCTTTTTGAAGATTGATAGCTAAGGCTACTACGAGTAAAAACTCTTTTGATTATAGCACATAGAAGCAATTTTCGACAATAGTTCAAAGTATTATACAGCCATGGCTCTATTTATCTATCTAAAAGTTGAGATATTATGTGGATCCCCGATATGTAATATTTTAAAGTCAAATATTATACTAATTTGGGACAATATTCGTTTTATAGAAACGTTGTTGTGACCTTTAAATTTAGCCAGCTTTATATTGATCTGGTGTAATTTTTTATAGCACCGTTTCATTAATGTCATAAGATTATACTTATAATTAAATACACAGTCAGTGAACTTTTACTTTGAAATGAGTAATAGATCTGAACGTTGCCGACATCTGAAGCGGAGGATCTTATCGTGCTTAACATGACGATTTATGGTCCTAGATTCATTGGTACCGACTAACAGCCCATATGATGTATTCAAGAGATGTGCATACTACATTGGCAAGATCAAGTGAATAAACACTGGACCTCACTTTGTATTTGGTGCCACATTGAAAAACAAAAATAACTAACAATCCGTTGTGAACTAAGCTCAAATCGGCTATGTTGTTTTAAATAGAGAAAAAACGGAACGCAACCATACCAAATTAGTATTTAATGTTCAATACCAATCAAAATTAATTCGGTTGATTCTAGGCCGCTGCATTTTATACTGATCTCTCTAAGGGCCGTTTTCTCAATATATGGTTAAGCGCTTAACCAGACCTTTACCGGCAACATGTTGAAAAATGGTTTCCTCAATATGTGGTTAACAACCATCTGTCAGTTAAGTTCTAGTAAACTTTACCGAAAGTAGTCTTGATTAGTTTCTAACCAGAACATGAAATGACAGCTGTCAGCTGTAAAATATATAAGTAAAATCAGAATAGACGGCGTTCAGACCGGGACTCTTTTGTCTTTACATTCATATTTGCATACTACATACAAAAGGGGTAATCAGGCATGTTCCAGAAACCGAATACAATTGATATGGTTTCGTTTCTTCAAACCGAATAATTTCATTTATTTCGAAGTCTTTCTATTTCATATCGAATCAGCTGCAAATCAGCATGCAGCAAACATTTGATTTCATTTGATATGTAAATATTATATTTTATTTCTTAAAAATTTAAATTTTCTCGAAATAACATGCGTTTTATTTCTCAAAAATTTAAATTTTCTTGAACTAACATGCGTGCTGCCGTGAGAGTTCTGCAAAATAATGACTTCGCCTTGCAGAAGTTTAGTACAAGGTTTGAAATTGCTGATGTACTGTTAAAATACTTTTATTGACTATTTTAACTTTGTAGTTAACTTCGAAGTACAATTTCACTATATCTGCAAGAGGGTGCAATGACCATTGGGAAAGATATGGATGTTTCATTAGGAAGAACCACCGTATGAAAAGTCCATAGTTGACTAATAGAGAGAACATTGTACTGGGTATGATGGCCGGTCAGGTTATTACTATAATATTGCAGTGGCTATTGAGTTTAATTGCAAGTTACTTCGACAACGTTTCAATCTGTGTTTTGTCTTCTTTTAAGATCCTTTTGCGAAATCTTCATTATTTCCCATAAAATTGATCTTTCTTCTGTTTAATATTACTGTGTTTACTACTAAAGAGAAGAAGCTTAGTCCTAGGTTAGTTAATCGGACTTATATTCGTAAAGTCACGAATGATCCCCCTTGGACAGCAAGATATGCCGGTTAGTTATTATCAAAAGTCTGTTTTGTGATAAAGCGCCTTGAGGCTACAAACATCAATTCCAGCAACTAGTCTGATCCGTAGAAGGTATGACTATCGAGATGGTTAAACCTTAATCCAACAAAATTTGGACAATGGAAGATGTACCATGTGAGACTAAATATGATAGTATCCAGTGAAAACTATCATTGCGGTGATTTAAACATTGCTTAGAGCTGGTAATTCAATAGACCCCCTGCGCAGGTACTGGTTGTTAACGAACGCTTTTTGAGCTTACACAAGGACCACAGAGCCCGTGCTGAAATGCAAGAGGCCTGCGGAGCACCAAGCCAATCTGATTAGATTGTGGAAAGGATGCCCTTTGTTGCGAGCTCGTCGGATTTGCAGTTTCCAGCGATTCCAATATAATCAGGCATCCAGCAGAGTCCGATAATAAAGTATAATTAAGCTATTGATAGTAGGGCAGACACTTCTGTGAATGCTCACCTCCCTGAAAGAGGCTGTACTTCGAAGCAATACATCTTCTGCTACCTTAAATGCAGCCAGTTCTGCTTAAATACCTATTACAGTGTTCTGGTATCCTGAAGCTGAAGCTAACGGAGAGCTCTTAACAGAAAACCATCCCTCCAACCTTTCTCCGCCCACATATTCCTTATTAGCATCTACTCAGAAGAAATCACACTTTAAAAATTTTTCGTTTTCAAATTACATTGAAATATGTGAATTTGGTTTTCCGAACAAGGCATTTCATTTCGAAATCCCATCAAAAAATTATTAGATTTCTAGAACAGGCAAAGTCGATTTTCAAAGCGAATCACTTTGTTTGTATGTGAAAGTGATATACAGAACATGGCTGGAAAACATTTCAACTTCCGAATATAACTATGAAAGGAATATCAAAATGAAAAGCATATCCTGAGCTCGTCGCTTCTCGCCAACGAAAACCGGTTTATGCGGCAAAAATAGTCCTCGTCTGAACAGTTTTGCGTGTTCGCAATGCAAGTTTTGTGAACGATTTTCCACACGCATTTACAATAATAAAACTATCTCTAGGTAAGCTAACCACAACTTGGTGAAAACGGTTCTGTCAGCTAAAACTATCATCCACTTAAGCTACCAGCGGTGAGGATACTATTAACCGGGTATTGAGAAAACGGCCCTAATACTACCTATTTTGTATTAGCACAATTTTATACCGATATTCGATTTTTTTCAAGTGGCAACAAAAGTTTACCTGTTTAAAAAGTACTAAGTGTTTTGTAGGAATAAAATACCTTACCTTCGTTACTAACTGGTCAGACGTGTTCGAAAAACTCAAACATTTACATTTCTAACAACACACTCATAATTTCGAATTTTCAAAACTATTGGTACGGAAATTTCATAGCAGGTAGTTTTTTACACATACTGTCAATAAATGCATGCACACCAAGCATTCACATCCTCTATGGATAGAGGGGATCATTGCTCATATTTCTTTAAAAATTAAGACGGCCATATAGGGGACGCTATAGAACCATGATTAATGACTTTTTCGTGCCTGAATTGGAGGATGTTGATGTGGACGACCTTTGGTTCCAACAGGACGACGCTACATACCATGCAGTCAATGAATCAATCAATTTATTGAAGAAAACTTTGAAGAGCGCATTATCTCACGTCGTGGGCCTATGGCGTGGCTTTAAAGGTCGTGATCGAAAATTGGGCCTCTGGGCTGGAATTTATTCAAGCCAACGGCGGCACTTGCACGAAATCAATTTTAAAACATAATGCAATTGAGTAAATAATCTTTATAATTAATCCAGATAATTATCAAAATGTAAATCGTTCTGGCCATAACCACACTATAATATATTATAAAATGGTAAAATTCAATATTCTCATTAAATTTGGTTAGGTTACTGTAGAACTTTGTAAGAAATGTGGGCTTTTATCGATATAACCATATATTATTCAATTATGATTCAATTGCTTACGGTTTTTGCGAAGTTTGAAGTTTTGGTGGGATAAAAAAAGTTATTTCCTAAAATATTTGTATTGGATATAGAATACAAAATTCCAAATACAAAAAAATATGTAATAAATGTAGTATGTAAATATAATACATAAGTATAGCTTTTTTGTTATTTTTGTTGATTGGTCATTGGTAGGATATCCATGTATTTCTATTGAACACGTTTGTTCAAAAATTTTACCTTTAAAAACGTATCCAGACGAAAAACATGTGTTTCTATACAGCAATAAGTTGGCACAGCTAATTTAGCAAATTATTAAGTTAAAGATCGGTTCATCAACAGCAACGTTTTATTTTACTAAAACAAATAAAAGAAAAAGCAAAACAATGAAATAAAACTTAAAAATAGATTGCATTAAATAAAAGACATTGCGATAAATAAAACAAAAATTAAACTCGACTGTGTTACACGAAAAAGAACTTGATTTCGAGTTGTTCACACAAACTACTTGTGAAAACTGAGTTAAATTGACAGCTGTGACGTACGCTGCAAGGAACTTGATAATCAAAAATAGTTTCAAAATGCCGTCGCCAAGGAAATAACTTACAATTATTTAAGGTTTCCTCCGAAATAAATAATTTGCCTGAACGATAAAAGTTGAGAAAGCAACTTTAGAATATATTCAAAATCCAGATTTTTTGCTTTTTTCAACTTTACCTTATCTCTCCAATAAGATATTCGTTTCTGCAGAAATTGATTTATTTACTTTCATTTTATATCAGTTAATCGATATAACGAAATATTCAAATTCCGTAGTATATCAAGTTGCCCCTCGACTTGATTGGAAAA